TATATATATATATATATTTGATAAGTAGTATTTCGAGGCAAAACGAGCCAAACACGAATGAACAAATCTTTGTTTGTGTTCAACTCGTTAACTGAATGAACAAGTCGAACACGAGCTTCTTAACGAGTCGAACACGAGCTGTTCACGAACAACGAACCGATTTGACATCCAGGGTCCGTCCCTAGTAGCTTGTGCGTTTCAGGATAAGCTGTTTATCCTGAAATGCGACCCGCGGGCAAAACACACAAATCAAACAGTACGGTGGCGTTTTCACTTATAAGCTACCCAAACGAGCCTAAAATAGAACTTAATTAACTAGGAGCAATCATATATTTAACTTTAAAAAATGTATTAATATTTTATAATAAAAATTTGATATGGACAAGTATTATAAATAAAAAATACACCTTTCATGGTGATATGAATATAGAGATTAAAGTTTAGATATAGATGTGTAAATACATAAGAGTTTAATGACAATAGGTAAATTTGCAATAATAAATTATGATAAACGCCTCTTAGCCCACGTTTTGTGAGTGAAAACGCGCAACGAAGAAAAGTCAGCCAAAGGTTCGCCTTAAACTATAAATAAAATAAAAAGCGAGGGCCAAAAAGAAAAAAACGCACCCGAGAAACCGCAAAATAGGAAAGCATTAAAAATAAACAAATATTAAAATTATAAACAGAACCCCCGCTGTATCCCACCATTCCTTTGCCCTTCACCTCAATCGATTTCGAAGCTGAAGATATTAAGAACATAAAATACCAAAAATACCTAGAAAATGCAACCATGCTCTCCAGTTTGATTTGATCGGGATTTTTGCCCTTCGTTGCAGATAAATTTCTCTAGGTTTTCCCTCTCCGGCGAGCGCCAGGTTGTGGATAGCGGTAATCGATTTTGTTTTTGGGGGATTTGGTTGATGTTGTGATGAAATCGACAGAGGTGTATTGGAGGATTGTTTGGATCTAAGGTTGTGGAAGGGCGGTAGGAGGAGGAGACGATGGATCCAGAGGAACTTAGGTCGGTGTTGAGAAGCACAGGCGTGGATCTATGGACGCTAATCGAGACGGCGATCGCCGTCGCAGCTGCGGAGCACGGGAGGGAGCTGAGGGCTCGTAGAGATGGGATCGTGGAGAGGCTTTACTCTATGGCGGATGGCCGTTGCTTGAGCTGTGATGGGAAGATGGTGGGCTCCCGATCCAAGCGGAGCAGTAGCCCTGGCGAGGAGCGTAAGGCGTCGAAGGGGAAAGAAGAAGAGGTAGGAGAGCAGGAGGATGTGGAGGAGGAGGAGGAGGAAGAGAGGGATTATCGTGCTATTGATGATGAACAGAGTAAGATTCTCGCTATCAAGGATTTTCTCGATGATCAAGATCAGGTATGTTAAACATAACTCTTATTTTAATTTGGTCATATCTGTGTGCTGTTGTTGATCGAGGAATTTCGTCAAACAGTCTGAAGATTCTCTGGTTAGCCTGCTGCAAAATCTCGCCGACATGGATATCACCTTCAAATCTCTCAAGGTATATGTTGTATAAGTCTAGAAAATCAGTTAATTTACTTTACTACTCGTCTGTTTTCTGATTCCTGTCTCTATTTCGAATCAGGAAACCGATATCGGCAGGCATGTGAATGGTTTGCGAAAGCATCCGTCATCAGAAGTAAAAAGACTTGTGAAGCAGCTCGTCAGGTGAGAGCATTCAATCAACCTCCATTCTTTTTCCGAAATCGAAATTCTCATCTTTGCCTGTAATCCATTGCAGAAAGTGGAAGGAAACCGTGGACGAGTGGGTGAAATTGAATTCTGCTAACGATAACTCGTCTCCTGCAATCATCAGTGCGTTGTCGAACTCATTCAAATCAATGCAAGATTTTCTTTTTCTTCACAATTGGTTTTGTAAAAAATGAAAATTTTCATATGAATCGATTGCGCAGCTGATGGAGACTCCCCCCAACAAATGCCAGCCAAGAACAACCAGAACGGACATCAGGTCTCTCCTCCTCCTCCTACTAGTTAGTTAATTATATTCTAATTTTCATTTATTGACAACAATTTGTCCAATTCAGACTCCGGATTTGACTTGTTCGCCCAATCCGCACGCTCAAAGTAAGTGCCGGCAAACTGGGTCAATACTTATATATATATATATATATATATATATGAAAGTGATTCTTTCAGCTGAAGTAACGGTTAAATGTTATGCAGATGGGAGCTGGCAGCACGATAGAAATAACTTGGAATCAGTAGAACACAAGGCAAGACCAGCTCTGCGCAGAGAAGCTCCACCGAAGCCAACCAACTCAACCCCCTCTGCAATAGCTGTAAAGATTCTATTTTTCTATTTAATAGCATAAATTAGATTAATGACTCTCCATTTGAATTGGTTCATGCTCATTGATCGGTCTGGCAGGAGTATAGAATCAGTCTAAATTGTTGGTTGATCAAAAGTTTCTAACTAGTAATATTTAGTGTAATTAGAGGAATAATCAAATTGTGTTTTTTAACAAAAAAGTGTTTTTGGTATCTGATTGACAGAAAATGAAGGAGAAGGATGGCTTGCTAGACCCGGATAGGTTGGCTTCAGCAAGGAAGAGGCTTCACGACAATTACCAGGAAGCTCAAAATGGTAATTTTTTTTTTCGGGCAATTTGATTCAGACCTCCCGAAACTTGCTATTTACAAATCAATCACCCTCTTTCATCTATTTTTCAAATTTCAAATTTTTTCAAATTCTCACTCAAATATCAAAATGGTAAAACCCCCCAACCACTATTTTTCATTTTTATCAAATTCTCAATATTTGGCTTAGTGTTAAATATCAAATTTTCAAGAGGTCTATAATGTAAATATCCCTTATTATTAGTATTGAAGTAATGCATCGCGTCTAAAAATGTCTTAACTTTGGTTCTGTTCTACTGTTTTGTTTGGTTTAAAAGCGAGAAAACAGAGGACGATTCAGGTTATGGATATTCACGAAATCCCCAAACCCAAAAATGCCTTCTTTGCGCGGAACAAGGGTGTGTTTCAGGCCAAGCATTGATGAACTGGGCTAAAAGCCGGAGTAGGGTCACCGGCCGGCCGGTCTACATACCAGAGGATCTTCATTTTTATTTTTCTCTGATCCAAAAATGGATTTTGAGACTGTATTTTTTCTTTCTTAGATTTTTTTTTCCGGATTTTATCTTATATAGTAATTATCTTTTGTTGCTAGGGGATATTATCTAGCTGTGAATATCTGATTTGTGTGTTAGGCTTTATATGTTGCAATTGTTTAATATTTGGCATATTGGTTGGAAAGAAAGTGAAGGATTATAAAGTATTAATATCCAGTGCTTTTCTTACTGAAAAAAAGGGTTTTGGAGGGTTTTAGCAACCTCTTTTTCAGTCACAATTTTTAATATATTTTTTTCTAAAATAAACTTTTTTGTAAATATTTTAATCAAGTTGAGTAAAAAATATGATTCAATTGAACATGGTTTTCTATTGATTTATTTCCTACCGCCAGAAATCATTAAAAAGCTAGCTATCGCCAAAGAAGCTTTAGTGCTCATGATTTTTTGGAGGGCTGCTAATTTGAATTGAATATTGAATGTGTCTTGAAAGTTGGGTTTTTACTTTTTTTTTTTTCCTTTTGCATGAACTGAACACTCTTTAAATTGGTGAGGTGATGAATGAGTTAAATTTGATTTGAAATTAATTTCTTGAGTAGTATTTGAGCAAGGCCCCTAAGTCACTTTTTAAAATTAAATAGGTTTGGCCCTAGCAGCCTTAGATTGGTCAACCTAGTTTCTATTATGCAAAGACTAATTGGGCTAATAAGCTAGATGAACCCATAGGGTCAAAGTAACACTCAAAGTCAACCATGGAGGGTCCAGTTTTACCTTGTTGGGTCAACTGGAAATTAAGGTCTAGAACAGCCCTTGGATTGCTCACTCAAGGCTAAGGAGAGCAAATAAGTTATAGTCAATATATTTGTCTGCATAAATATATTTGTATGACTTCTAAATTTTGATTGATGGTTATGTATATTAAAGTATTTTTATATATGAATCTTTATATATAAACACATGTTTAATTAATAATTTTTTGATTGTGTGCTAGAAGATTCAAATGATATAGTAATAATTTGACATCTTAGTGTGAGATGAAGATCCATCACATACACTGTTAAAAGAGAAGAGAAGACAATTTTTTTTGTGGAAAACTCTTGAAAAGGGAAAAAATTATGGGGCATTGAAATAATCCACTATGTAATTGTAAGGATATTGGCCCATTCTTCTCTTAGATTATGGAAGATTGAGTTACAAAGTTGATCATTGTAAATATACAATAATAATTTATCGATAATAGTCGTAATCTGGATGAAATTTTTGGCGATAACTACGATAGCAACTTGCAAGGGTCTTAGCTGATTATTGTGGAGGCAGTAACTCGCTGTGAATGTTGTAGAAAGTGATAGAGTAGCAACTTGTCGTAGAGGTCATTGTTGAAAGTTGTGGTAGAAGTTCACTATGTAAGCCATAGTGGCCACAGAGACCAGGGTTGAGAGCTGCCTGAGCTGTGAGACACGGAGATCGTATTTGGTCACATAAGGCATTTGTTGACCACAGAGGTTAGAGTTGGGAGTTACATGAGCTGTGAGTCACATAGATTGTAGTTGGTCATATAGACCATAGTGATGAGTTGCAATAACACTCATAAACCATGAATGTTGGAATTAGGAGTTGCATGAGCTGTGAGTCATGAAAGGTTTTGTAAGTTACGCAGGCCGTAGTGATGAGCTGCAATAATGTTTGAGGCCACAAACATCGAAATTGGGAGCTCCGTGAACTGTGAGCCGTGTAGGTAGTAGTTGGTCATATTTGTGGTGAAGAGCTGTAAAAAATGTCATTAGGTCACAGAGGCTGGAGTTTGGAACTATTTAAGCTGTGAGCTACGAAGGTAATAGCCTGTAGCAGGGAGCTATAGTAGCGTATGCTGACCACTAAGATTGTATTAAGGGGTTGCAGTTGCAATGAATCTCATAAGTCGAAAGTCGTAGTGAGAAGTATTGAGGAAAGAAATTCAAGAGTTTGGACAAGTTCACCATGCTCTGGGTAAGATAGTTGTAAGCAGCTATTGTAGGGAGTTATTCCGTCCTCAGGGACTGTCATTACAATGTTTTTGAAGTGTGTCGTTACAACGTCTTCGGGATGCAACGTTACACCACATTTGGAGCGCATCGTTACAACTTATTTGGCATTCGTCGTTACACTGTCTTTGGCGTGCGTCAACATCAAAGAGCAGTGGACGACTGACGGTGATTGATGGTGATCGACAAGCAGTAGTTGATGGTGATCAACAACTGCGTGAGCAGAAAATGTTCGTCGAGTTTTCGGTTCAAAATTGTACTAGAATTTGACTTCTAGTCATGCTCTAGCTTCAAGTCTCCTTCCTCTACTCTCAGCCTCGGTCCCCTTTTATGAAGAGGGGCAGGACTCTATTTATAAACTCTTAAATTGGACTCTATAGAAATAAGAAAGGAATTCAAACAACTCTATCAAATAGCCTAGGGAGATTCTTTGATTAGATGACACTTTGTAAACATTTAAGTGTTTTATGGATGTCAGAATTGAATGATATTTGGCCCGTTTGATTCATCTCATCAAGAAGCATCAAAAAGTGGTTTAGTTATTTGATTCAGGCTTGAATTAACTCAGATCAATTGAGTGTCATCAGGTTCCTCTTGTTGAGTCGGCCAGTTTAAGTATAAGTTTTTTGAAAGTGGAGTTCTGGATGATTTTTAATTTGAGTTTGAATGTTTCTTGTTAAAAAGATATTTTGAGTTTTATGTTAATCACCCCGAGATTCATCTCAAATGACAGTTTGTTGATGATGAATCAATTGAGATAGAAAATTGATCTATTTTTATTCGAATTAAAGTTAATATATCTTGTATGGCTCTGTCGGCACTATTTTTGGTGTGAGGTTTGCCTAAGTATGCACAAATCTGGAGAAGACAATTGGCCTATGATTATTCATCATATGATTGGTCGATCTAGAAAGGATCAAATGAAGAGAATGAACAACCCCACAGATACCACACTACCGTGTTAGCACCTGCTTCCCGACAGCTTCCATCATGAAGATCAGCAGTCACTCAGGATAAGTTCCTCAATATAGACACATTGACCCGAATATGATGCTTTTCGGATTATAGTGATCCAAAATCTGCCCGATGAAATAATTTTATCCGAGAACAATGTGTCCTCATAATTGATCTCTTCAGACTAGGCAACCAAAGATAACTAAATTCGACTGAAGGACACTTGGTAGATCAAATGACTCATGGCAGACCGAATGAATTTTAAGTAATTAAATTGGGCAGTTATGAATGTAAAGCGGTGTCTAAGATGAATATGGAAATAAATCGGGGCCAACTGAGATTACAGGGTCAAAACAAATGTTATTCAGTTACAAATACATGAATTTAATGGCTCATTAGTAATGGCAACGTCCCCTTCTCTTAAATCAGAACAATTATGTAGTTCATGAGATCCCACCTATGATTTATATATAGGGGAATCATTTTCAAGAAAAGGACTCTGGATTGAATTTAGACAAAAAATAGAGATCATCTGAATACCCCTTTCATCTTTCATCCAACAAATGCTCTATTCCTTGGGTGTGATTCATCACAAATTTTTGGATCCAACATTCTAAAAGGTGCAGTGAGCATGAAATCATGCCAACAAGACGAGGAGCGGGTCAAGGTGAAGGAACACTTCAAGGAGAAACATCCAATGTGGAGTCCGTTCAAGAATTCATTCAACAAAAATCCAAGGGTTCCATGATCAGTTGGTAGGTTAAAATGCAGAGCTGGCTACAGTGGTGCTTAAGGGAAGGGCACAACCTCCCTTGCAACGTGATCCAAGAACTCTTGAGCTCCAAGCTCAACAAGGGGCCCAAGCTGTTGAGCAAGAAGAAGAGTCCCAGCACCAGGACGGTGCCAGATCCATGCTAAAGGGAGGACCACAAACATGAGTGATAGAATTTTATTACAAGATCAAGAATGCATTTTCCCGACATTTTATGGAAGCAGAGTCACCGAAGAAGTTTAAGGTTCCCTCTTTGGAAACATATAAGGGTTGGAATGACCTTACTGATGATATTGCGTCCTTCGAGTCGACAATCTGCCTTTTGAGGATCTCTAATGCATTAAAATGTTGATTGTTTTACACCACCTTGAGAGATTCCGCTCTCAAGTGGTTCGATCAACTTCTAGTAGGAATTATCAATTTCTTCAAATATTTCAGGAAGTTATTCTTTGCACAGTTCGCTAGCACCCAAAAATCATGAAATGACTCAGATTCTTTGTGGTATGTGAAATAGGGACCGAACGAGATCCTGTGGGCATACATTAAAAGGTTCCAGAAGAAGATGCTCGAGGTAAAAAACTTAGACCTGGTTATTGCTAAGGTAGCCCAGACAAGTAGCATATGAACCAGTCGATTTCCAAAGGTGAGAAATCAGATCAACTATCGGGCAAGAATAGCTCGTAGGATATTGGATGGAGAGAGAAGGATGGCCAACGTCCAAAAATGCTAGAAATGATGATCATCATAAAGGGATAAAGAAGATTAACGAGAAGGACGTAGACACAACCGATTGATTGACCAGTCTACAACAAACCTAAGGACATCCAAATATACACCGTTGCAGGTTTCAATGATGGAACTTATAGATGTTATACATGATAAGGTGTTTTTTCAAAAGGTGAATCCATTGAAAACTAGGGCTTCTCTCTAAAATTTGTTGCAGGAGTTAGGCCATGCTAGGAATCTCAAGGAGTTTGTAGACGGGGAGAACCACACTATGTAGAAGGGCAAAGCTCCAGCGAATAATGAATCGAGCCAGCCAAGCCCAGCCAACACTATTCACATAACAGGGATTTCACTAGTGATACTAGGAGGGAATTCATATACCAGAGGCAACCAAGAAAGGAGTCAATTAGGGAGCTATTGTGCTGTGGCGACCGTTCTGAAGAGGAAGCATCATTCTCTAATCATTTTTGCCTATATAGTTCTTCCCATAGTCGAGAATCCGTACAATGATGTCATTGTTGTTACAACACTTTTCAGGAACTACCTGGTTGGGAGTATCTTAGTTGATACTGATACTACTTTCATTGTCAAATTCATTATCAATATCAATGTCATTAGCACTTAAAATAGTACACAACATTTAATATCCTTCAATAACATGAGACAATTATAATTTTGATTTCAAAGTTTTTTTGGAAATTTTTAGTCGAGTTTATCATGCTTAAAGTAATCATAA